CCAGCTGTACGTTTCTTTTAAGTGCCAGCGGTTTTCAAGTTATAATTAAATTTCAACCTGCAACCTGCAAAATATACCTGCCGCACGGAAACGGTTGGCTGTTCACTGTAGGCTGTCTACACGTGGCAGGCTGGGGCAAGGGGCATTGGTTAATTCGCTAAGAAGGATATCGTTTACCACCGCAGAAGCAGGCCTGAAAACGTCCTTCGATGCTTCCTGTTTTATTATTGATTTGATCTTAACAGCAACCGCTGCTCCTACTGGAGCCGCATGGTTATGGTCGTTCTTGCCAAATTCAAACACATTCTGAGATCTCTGAATCACCGTAGCCTTGCAGCGGTTACCCTGAAAACAGTAAGAGAAGATCATGATCAAAAACAAAATTAAAAATGGATAAGTTAATAGTTGTTGAATACATTACATACTTCATGAATTACTGTAGTCTTGTGATTTACCATTTACTCAGCAAAGATATATATCCTCGAGAAGGAGGCGCTAGTTTCGCTTTGGTAAGTACTTAGAAAAATTGTAAACCTCATTGAATGTTCCAAAAGCATGTTTCTTATGTTCACAGGAGTGAACGATTGGGAGTGCTTGTGCTCCTCGCCTAGTAGAACATGTTAGACGTGCCATTGTACCCTTGCCCTCAACAGTTTTTTATGTCTAAGTCATAACCCAGAGGGGGGGGGGGTTCCGGAACCCCTGGAACCTTCCCCTGGCTACGCCCCTGATAACAACTGTTTGTGCGGTAAAATAATCAAGAGTAAATCATGATCAGTATTCACAGTATTGCTAACTTGCACTCTCTGGGCTCTGGTTCAAATAACCAAACAAACAATTTCTTACCATTGGTCGTATGGTGCATTGCCAATCCGTGGCACTGACACGCTGCCTTTTTATGTTATAGCTATATCCCCAGCTGTCAATGAGTTTTTGTTTCCCCCTTTCACTACCACCCTCCACAATTTCGAAGGCAAGCGGTTGGTTGACTGGTTCCACTGGTAATGGCACAGGACCCTCGATGGACGATTCTTCGATAACTGGCTGGGCCGGGGACTGATCTGCATAGTCGGCCGATTCACCGTTCACTGGAGGGTTGGCTGACTGCTCTACGAATAAGTCGGCTGATTCATTGCTCACAGGAGGGTTGGTGGACTGATCTGTGAATAAGTCGGCTGACTCATCTCTCACTGGAGGGTTGAATTCGTCAGATTCTAAGATGCCCGTTGATGTCTCCGTGACTCTGGTGCTTTCTGTGATTGGACACTCTGGACCACAGGACGGACAAAACCAAACAATATCGGCACCTGCCCTCACAGCAGCACGATAGTCTTGTTGAGAAATACCTGTGAGAAAAATACTGTAAACTAAGCAACGATTGCTACAACACCTATCCTGTATCAAAAATCACTAGTGAAATCAGGCACCAGCATTCTTGAGCCGCGAACGTCAGCCGGAATTAAGGTGTTTTCTCATTTTACTTGGCTTGGCGCTAACATGATTGGATTACTAAGTGTCTTTACTCTCACAGAGCCGGCGAATTACTTGAACATTTGAGCACAATCACTATTCGCGCGAAAGTACTTCTTTAGAACATTTTATCGCGCGCACACTAATTCTTTGGCTGACGTTAAAAACAACCACTTAATTTAAACTTGAAACTATACTTGCGATGTTCGGCTGTCATAAAAACAAGTTTAGATGTATGTCACTTACCAGTGCTATGATTCCATTTCAGGCAACCATCGCACTGAACACCTTGCTGCCATTCTCTCACAGGTTCTTTACACAGTATACAATTGTCGCTTATGGAAGCCATAGTTGTTCGCATGTTGTAGTTCTGAGATGATTCTCGGTTGGTGATCAATGATCGAGTGACTGTCTTGTTAGCCTTTCAGCTTTTTATAAACAATCATTTTAAACGTGATTTGTATTTTCATTCATTCACTTGAATAGGTGCTAACTTCTTAATCACAATATAGTGCGCGTGTGTTTTCTGAGAGGTAAATTACGTATTCATGACACTTGTTCACTTTAAGAGGCTCCATACAAAAGTTACTTCGTTCCGTACAGAAGTTACTTCGCTCCATGTAAATTAGTGAAATATTGTCGTGAACTTTTTGTTTTGATGCTGGAGTTGGACAACACAGATAGCTGAGGTTAAGGTCGTATTCCGAATTTTCAAATACACAAGTCTTTTAAAGGTCGGCGCGTTGTGCTGAAAAAAAAGTCTCACCTTGAATTAACATAAGTTCACACATTATGCGTGGGTACGTGTGGCGAGAAAACAACAAGACAGTTTTGTGCAACTACACGAGCAATAAATCAAATACACTTTGAATCAATAAAAAGGTTTTGAGGGTAGTTTATTAAACAATGCATGTAAAGCCGTGGATGGTTTTCAAAGTTTTTCAAATATGATCGCTACAAGTGAATTGCAAACATGTCTAGCCTGCGAAACACTTTGCTCCCGGCCCGAGTGGTGTTTCACAAGAAAACATCAGTCAGGCAAATACAATCTTGTTAGCATATCTACACTTTAATAATATCATGGAGCGAACTGAGTTTTGGTTGGGGTGAAGTGATTGGGGGCGAAATGACCATGGGGCGAAGTGACTGGATATTGTGTTAACTAGTGATAATAGCACGGGTGCGTGTTTCCTGAGAGGTAAGCTGTGCTGTGTCTATCCGACAGGTCTGGGTTGATATTCCCTGGGCTCAAATATTGCACATTCAATATGGCGGCTATGTTTACGATCAAAATTGTTTGTTTTTTGCGTCTGGTGTTTGTTCTTTCACAGCGGAATACTCCAAAACATAAAACATAAACAGTTAGATCTGATTCACTTCAATTACATCAAACGTTGTGGCTGGATTACGAAATGGTCACGTTCATGTGTTTACGCGATCGTTACAATCGAAGGCTACAAACGTAAGTCTTGGTCTTGTAATGTACTTTAAAAAACAAACTTTCTTCTTCTTTCAAGAAATTATTACCTTATGAACATAAAAATATATTTGTCCTACGTAACATAGGTGTTTTCATATTGGGAGCCAGTTGTCTAAAGATCGCGGGCGAGTTGTCTGGGGTGAATTGTCCAGGGGGCGAGTTGTCCGGATACCAGTCCGGAATATCCCGATAAATTAGGACATCTGTGATGTCACGAAACTCACGTTTCAACCAATAAGAATGTGTGTTTTGATTGGAGTGTTGTGTTTCACAACAAACCAAGAGATTCAAGATGGCGGACAAAGAGAGTCGCGAATACTTTCCAATGCCATGAATGCGGGCC